TTTTGTTTTCTCCTCCCTTCTGGCGTCTCCAAGTCCTCCCCAGGAGTTCAAGTTCCAACAGCAGATTTGCCCCGACCGCTTCCAGCCCAAGTGTCCTCTCCCCCTGCTCGACTGTACCGTTTCCATCACTGATCTGATATTTAACGATATGCGGTCTTCTATTCTTAGTTAAGTCTTCAATCTGTCTGTGTCTTCTCCTCCCGTACAAACTCTGTTCCTCCAGAGCCCGCATCCACGTGTTTACTTACTTCTTCCCGTCCTGCACAGTGGCTCGAACAAACAGAACTCTGCGTGTAGTAGTGGCTCAGGAAAATATTCGTCGCATGAATGAATGGTGATGACATTCAAACTATTAGTGTCGGAGTTCAAAAATAGCATCAACTCTGGTGAAGCACGGAAGAACGAAATAGGACTGTCACCTGAAACCGTTCTTTCCATTTGCAATGTTATTTCTCCACCATTTAGAGTTTCCTGTTTTAGCCAACTTTTATGGTGTGTTTCATTTCAGTTTATTTCCCCTCTTCAGCACCTCCCTTCCAGTGACCCCTGCCCCACCTCCACATTCTTACACATTTGGCTTATTTGAAATCTCCCATGATGCCATAAGTAGCATTGTGCGGTGGCTTCGCTCGCACCCCTACCTGCCCTGTCCTCACCTTCTTTGTCTACTGCCTGCCACTCTTCCCTTTCACACCAAGCCCCAGAGCCACCACCTGGCTGTGCCCTTTTCTAAATGGCATTTCTTGGGACAAGAGATGTAAATGCCTACTAAACATATGAAAAGGTGCTCAGCACCCCAATACTCAAATGCAAATGACAATAAGACCCTTCTTTCTGCCCAAGACGAAAAAGAATAACAATGCCCAGCGCTAGTCAGGGTGTAAAATATGGAAGCCCTCCGACCCCACCGATAGAAGTGTAAATGGCTACCACGTTTCTGGGGGGATAATCAGGATTTTCTTGAATTGCCCCTGTTTATACTTCAGTTTCTAAGTTAAAATGCCATTTTAATTGATTTTGTTTTATTTTGTTTGCTTAAATGCTCTGTGCCTCGAGCCTTTAACTGGTTTTAACTGCCTCCCTAGGGCAAAGCGTAAGGCTTGGGAAATTCAAACATACTTGTGATAAACAAATAGAGTTAATATTTTTTTAAGGTCACTGTCAGCCTCTAATGAAGACTGAAAGCAGTAAGTAAATACAGAGACAGTTTCTTTATTTGAAGTATAAAAGTACACGAATTTCCTACCGGTCCTTCCATTTTACAGATGGATTATGTGAATACAGTATGACAGTATGTGATTTAGGGGGAAAAGTGCGGAGGTGGGCAGCGTGTTTATTTGAATGACTAGGGACTTGTAAGACTTACGTCTTCTATCTCCCAGGCCTCCTCCATTCATTTTCTGACTGTTTGAATGGAGAGTCCTTTGTAGAAAAGTACCACACCCCCCCATCCAAACACACACAATCTTTCTCCAAGCTTTATAACTCTGTTATAAAGCCGCTAGCAAGGAGGGACAAGGCCAGGGCTGCTTTCAGCCTTCTGTGTTTTTGCTAGAAAGAGGTACTGTGACTTATTTACTACATACTTTGGGAGAACTGCATTTATAACCGAATCTGTAATCACAGAGGCGATGTACAATTAGGTTTTCACTATATAATGCCTACTGTTTGTATCGGTCGTGTTTCTCAAAGCGTTGCCACATTGTACTAAATCCTAATAATTTAACCAGAACCACTAAAACCAAACAGAACATAAAACTTGCAAGGCGATGCCAGACTCCTCCCTTTGGCTCCGTTGATGATGCCTCGGTTTGGAGCCCGAGCCCTCCCTGCCCTTTTAAGCAGGTTGTCTAAGAGAACCTGGCATCCCACTGCTTGCAAAGCAGAAGTGCACTTATCATTTGCCATGAAGTTGCAGAGGGACCCCCAAACGTCACTTGGGGCCAAAGTTCTGCCGCGTCCTGTAATGACAGAGATCAAAGGCCAGAGGGTTCTGTTACTTTTATTCCTCAGCTTTATTATTGCTACCTTCTCGTCTCTCTTCCTTCCCACAGCTGCTTTCTAGAGTTTCAGTTGTTGAAAACAGGACTTGCGCACATGAAGTGATTCTTCTGCTGTTTCTTTCTCTGGTAGGTGTGGAAGATGCCTTCAGTTTCACCTCCAAAGTCATGACGGTGTCCCTGCACAAATTCTCCCCGGGGTTTTTCCCAGGCAAGTGATCTGTGTGCTCAGTATTGCGTTTGAGGAATAAACACTGCAGTTCTTCTATGCATTTCTTACATCTCGTATGTGTATAGTTCCGTGCTGTTAAAACCTTCCTGGTGCTACGCTATGCAGAATTTTAACACAGGTCATTTCAGGTGACAGTGATCAGAGGAATGTATTGCTGTTTCTTACTCCAGATGACTTTTATGGACTGTCGACAGACAGCTCACTTACGCTCGCCGTACCCTCAGGTACCCCGTGCGAGTCCCAACACCCTGGGAATGGCAATGATCTGTTAGTACGGTGTCAATCTCAGCTATCTGGGAAGCCAAGCAAACGAGTTAATCTCTCTTTTTTCCAGCAAGATGGAAACCAAAGGTTTTCCACTTTCTTGTAATTTTCCCGCTTCCCCGACGTTGTTTACCACAGTTACTTCTCCATGTGGTTTTTCTTAATTTCCTCCCCTTAGAAACCATCACAGGATTGTCCTCCTAATTGACCTTTTGGTCTCCCGCATTCCTATCAGAGAATCCTGCAAGTTTTCTAAGTGTCCCGCTCTTCAAACTGCTCATGATTCTGCTGTCTTTTACAGGAACAGGTGACGTGTCTGACGTCGGCCTAGGGAAGGGGCGGTACTACAGCGTGAACGTGCCCATTCAGGATGGCATACAGGACGAGAAGTATTACCACATCTGCGAGAGGTACGGCAGCGACGCTGAGCCCGTCTCTCCGAGTTCTCGTTTTCAAGAAACAGGTTGGGAAAAGCCAGTGTACACCCACGTAGCTTTCATGCACTGTCACTTATGCTTGTTTGATCAGTAAGCATCCCCTCTGTGCAGAGACAGGTGTTTGGCCCAGAGCTGCCTGGGCAGTCCGTTGTCACCTACTCTCTTAGCTAAAACGTCCGTCCATGCGTGTGAGCTCATTCACCTGGGGGCTCCTTTTCCGGCTTCCGCTCCGGAGACCTGCTTCCGTCCACTGGTGTGAATCTTAGCTCTTTATTCTGAGTTCTTGAGTTCTTTCCGTTGGGTTAGAATTGGACTCAGAAACCTGTTCTCTTTCCATTCTTATCGTATTAAATTATAGCCACTTGTACGTAGTTTGTTGCCCACGTGTAGACCCTTGGGGCTGAGAAGCCTTAGGGAATTGGGGGGCTAAACTCAGAGTCACAGAAACCAAGATCGGTCAGGTGCAAAGTCACTGCTAACGTTGGCAGTAGACGAAGTGAGCGTGCATACAAGTCAGCGAGTCTGAGTCTCCGTTCCTTAAGTGATGGGGATCGAGTCTTTGGATCCCTCCCCCACTCAGCTCAGATTTCTCCCAACCCCTGGTGGAAATGGAGTGCACTGGCCATCATCACTGGCAGTTGTGTAAACAAAGTCGAGTATTAAAACATAAAAAGCTTCATGCTTCAAAGGTGCCTCTTAGCTCAAGAGATTTGGCCAAGTCCTCCTGCAGCAGCTCTCGCCTCTTCAAGGTTTTGATCGTGTCCCCTGGCTACCTCTGTATTGTCAGACTGAAAAGGCCTTTTTTTTGGAGCCTGCCATTGATGGTTTTAATTGCCCTTCTTTGTTCCCCTTAGGCTCTGTTCTGTCCTTCTGGAGATGTGCAGATCAGAGCCGCTTACGTAACTCCACCAACGAGGCTGGCCTGTGGTTCTGTGTAAAATGAGAATGATTTTGTTTTTCTGTTAATCCCCTTCTTGACAGTGCCCAACATTTCGTTGCCTTTTATTTTTATGATTATTATTTTTTTATTTCTGTAACAGGAAACTAGGTCGTTCCCCTCAGTGCTCAGTCCACGCGCAGGACATCCTCGAGGCTGTTTTGGGTCTTCATTGAAAGGCCAGCAGCCATCGTCCTAGAAGTATAGTTTGTAATACCCGAACGGGCTGTGTTACCCGTGCCCCCGCCGAAGCTCATGTGCCAGTCGTGAGAGCTGCTGAGGCCTTCGATTAGCCCCCCATCAACTCGGCCTTTCAGTGCCTGGAAAAGCTGAGTGTCACCTGCAGACTCGAGGCTTTCCCAGTCCGCACCGCCAAGGGAGTCTACTGCTTACCCTTCTTCAGTCACAAGAGTGTGTGTTTCTCCCTATATTTTCTTTCTTTTTTTTCCCCTTGAAACCGGTTCCTACTATATGATAAGAAAAAACATATTTTAAATCCCATGGTAATTCATGTTCAAAAGTAGCCTCGGTATTAAAATTAGTTCGAAGCCTTTTAAAAGCGAGCTTAGCACCGAAGACCCCTGTTCCCGCTCGCGTGCCAAAGTCCCAGACACTCACCTCTTCTAGTTCCCGGGGGCCCCTTTGCCCGCCGAGCACAGTGAGCACCCACAATCAGAGCTTCCGGGTTGTCATCAGAGGTGCGATCACTTCTCCCTTTGATTTCTTTCAGAAGTCAAGTCTGGTCAGGACGTTACGTGAAGGCGCCTCCGAGTCCGAGGGTGCCAGGGAGGCCGCCCCACGCAAACCTCTGTCCCATCTGTTGGACTAATATCTGAAAGTCCTTTAACAGGAAACAGACTTTTCTTCTGCAATTAGAAATAGGCCGAAAATGGAGTTTCGGCACAGCCCCTCCTCGCCCTCGCTCTGCCACAGGTGCATGCTTTCACGGCGCTTTTCTTGACAGCAGATTCTGAAAGGGTTAGACAGTGGCACCCTGCTAACTGTGTCCCTTAGTTCCATCCAGCCACGATGCTTTTGACTACTTCTAGTTTGTTGCTTAGACCCAGACTCGCTTGCACATTTGCCATTTGCCATTATGACCTGTGACCCATCTGCCTACCTCAAAAGATGTAGTAGACATAGCAATGGCTTCCTCGTGTCCAAAAGTCCTCCAGGATATCTGCTATCTATCTCCTTTCCGTCCTTTTCATCCCGTGAGCCCACTGGTTTTCTGGCTCTCTCTTTACCCGTGATAAATAAAGGACCTCTTACTGCCAGTTCACTTACAAGATGCTCCAATTTTGGTTCGAGACGCAATTTCTAGTTTGCTCCTGTGAACTGTGTCTCCCTGTGGAGTTCAGGAGCCCTTTTTCCCTCCGTCCCTTACTTCCTTCTTTTCTTCCACCGTTCCTTCCTTCCTTTAAGATTTTCTCTCTCTGCTGTAGCCTTTTTGACAGACCAGATGTAGAATCTTTACATGAATGTTTTCAACGCCAAACGACCTTAGGTTCCATTTTATGTAAAAAACAAAATAAAACAAAACAAAACAACAATTTCACAGAGTTCCCTAGGTTATCCAATACTAATTTAGAAGGGCGAGGGTCAGTGATTCCCAAAAGCTTCCCGTCATTTCCATGGGACCTGCTAGAGTAGGTAGCACTTACTCTTACTCAGAGCCCTGTTTTGACGAGCATCAAGGAGCATCAGCGTGTTCTTCTAAGTATACCTCCTCCTTCGGGAGAAGCTATGGCCACAGTACGGGCGATAGAGGGATCTTATACTCTTGATTTACATGGAGGCCCACCGCCACCTCTGCCACGTGCACTCGTACATACAAAGTTTGATGCGACAGGAAGGCTATCTTACCAAAGAGAGGGTCAGCTGGTTCCCGACTTATCTCATCTGAAAGAAGACATACGACTTTGCCTGTGGTTCTTAACCTGTTTGTGAATTATGTTCAAGTGCAGTGTGAGAGAGTCTATTACCGAAGATGCTACGTGGATGACTTTGCGAGTGTTTATAACTCAGGACTGTGGGAGAGGACAATAACAAGTCGTCCTCGCTGTTGGTTTCAGAGACGTTTCAGTAAGTAGCAGGTTACCACTCCGAAACCTCAAATCTGGCAGGATGACCAGACTACTGCCCCACTGTGACCTGTCATGACATATGCAGAGTGCAAAGAAGGCAGTTGCAGCTGTGCTTAAAGTTCTTAATTTCTGCTCTACCTATCATTTCACAGCCCTAACGGCCAGAAAGCAACTCTTTACTAAACGTCCATCCATTGGTATACATCTCATACGAAAGCTGTATGCATGGTGCTCGCAATGTGTATGGATACAGAACATACTGAAGTGGACAGTTCAGCATTTTGCAAAAAAAAAACAAAAAACAAAAAAAAACACCCTCACATTTTTTAAAGAAGATTCAACTATTCCACTTTGTACGATAATTAAGTTCAGACACTGCATAAATATTTCACCGAAAAGAAAACACACTGGTAAACAGAGTTCTCAATGCATAGGACTTCTGGACGGCTCTGTTAAACGGGACCTCTCATTCAACAGTGGTCTTTATGTCCACACGTGCAAAACCAGACCAAAGGGATAATCTTATTCTGGTGAACTAAGGTTCGTAATGGTGGTTATTAAAATCAGAATGTGCCTGTATTTGGTCCTTGGCCTGTTTACCTCGAGTCCTATAACTTATTCTTTAACCTAAAATTCAAAGAAACCTTTTCCCCCCTTCAAGGACCACTGACCTAAAAAAAAAGTTCAGAGGTCCCAGAAGTTTTAAAAAAGACTGACTTTTTGCCTCCTTTTATAGAAGGAAATATACTTTTTATTTTAAATAATCTTTATGGCTCTTCAATGGCTTTTTTCAAACACTTGCTGTACTGACCATGGGCCTGTTCAGAAAGAACTTCTCAAGAACAACAGTGAGCTCATCAAAGGTTAACGTTTTATTCTTGTGGGGAATTCCTTTGTCTACACCGAGCTTTGCTGCTATCCATATTTTTCTACATCTATACATAAATGTATACATGTATTTCTGTCATACGTTTATTGTGTGACAATTCTTTTTCCAAGTCATGGCCCCTAAAACACAAGTTCGAGGTGTTTTAAGCACAGGATCCATTCATGTGGGTCTGGGCTCCCGGTTCACCTGTGAAGACACTCTGACCTATAAAAGAATCAAGCACGTCATGTCACCTTATAGGATTTTTAAGACACTCATTATCAAGAGTAAAAGGGGGCTACGGCGCACCGTCATAGGAGATTCATGTGTCTTTAAGTATGACAGGATTGATTCCTTCATTTGGCCGATATTTCTCAAGCGTCCGCTTTACACCTGTCTTGGCCCCACCGCCAGTGCCTGCAGATGAGAAAACTGAAGCTTAGAAAGATGGACTTGCTTAAGGCTGCACAACAAGTAAGTGGTGAAGCCAGAGTCAGAACTCGTGTCTGTCTGTCTGTCTGCCTGTTAGCCGGCAGCGTCATTGTCCCCAAAGTATCATGTGGAAGTATGGAATGTCTTCACGAGGAAAAATTACCATCCCAAAGACTTCATAGAAAATTTTATCTGAGAGGATTGCAGCAAACCCCTACCAAAAGAAACCATTTAAGCTTATGCAAATGAACCACGTGATCTGTAGTATACACAATCCATTGTGTTTAGCTTCCAGGAAGTGCAATTTAGATTTTTGCCACCCCGCCCCCCACCAAAAGAATCTCTTAATCCCAAGGACTTCATTTGTCATTTAATGAATAGGAATTAAGAATAAATATTGCCAGATTTTACTTCTTAGGTTTTAAATTCCTAATTGCAGTTTGGAAACATGGAGATTCTGCAAATCTGGTTTTTCCTTTATTTTCAGGAAAATCCTGAACTTCCTGCTTTAGAAAGTGAGTAGTGACACATGTCATTTTATAGAGGTCGGCTCATGGAATTACCATCCTTTTCATTTTGGCTTTTTTTAGACTGGTATTGCTACAGATTTTGAACGTTACGCATTTTTGCAAGTGTAGACATAGTTTATATCATCTCTTGGTCCTGACAGAAGGCTGTGGAAAGGTTGAGATTCTCCATCCATGCAATAAGCTGTTCATCCAACACCGGTGGAATAAAATGAGAACCAAGGGACATCTCTAAAGGACATTTAAGTGAAACGTTTCCTTGCATTATTGACTTTTAATGTTAATATTTAAAGAAGAGATATTTTAATGATGATAGGTTTTTCTTTCATTATAGTGATGTCATCTAGAATTTATCTTCCACGTGGGACTCCACTTCTTATTCAATTTTAGAAGCAGGTAGATAGATCCTCAGCGAATGATTAGAACCTAGTCCTTTGGGCTTGATGATATGGCAAAGGCAATACAAACACATATTTATGCATAAATATTTTAAGCAATACAAATTTTTTAAAATTCTCCATTTGAGGAGAAGGGAGGAACTCTAGAAATGTGCATTTGAGAACAAATAATTCTATAGCCTTACCTTCATCTTCACCGCCACGCTCATCACAGTCTGACAGCCGGTGAAAATTCTTTATGAACTTCTACCTCTTCGGTGAGGTCGCAGCCACATCACTGGCTCGCTCTGGCCCAGGATAAAGGTAGCAAGCTGCTAATTCAAGGCCTTGCACTTGAATTCAGCCCTTTGTAACTGGGATATTTCTGTCACTGCTTTTGTTCCATTTGATAAACTTTTATCCTGCCTCTGCGTGGTATGGCAAATACAAAATTGCCTATTGTTTTGGGAAAAATGGATGCCTCAGCCCCTAAGTAGGTTTGCTGTTAATGTTAGCACAGGTGGCAAGGAGGTCCGCCCAAGTGGGCTGTTTGTTTATTCCTAGTTTGGTGTGTCTTTTACAATAGTCAAAAAACATTAAGTGCCTTAGAATGTGGGCTCCTTTGGAGGAGGAGACAGAGCCCCGTTACCGAGCTGTCCCGCACCCTGTGCCGTGCCCGTCCTTCGTTAGCAGTCGCGGGAACTGTTTTTTTTTTTCCCCCCTCACCTGGTCCTTTGAGCTTTAAATCCACGTGGTTAGAGAGATGGTTCTTACATTCTTCTTCCTTCTTGACCAGTGTCTTTCATGACCGGTTTCGAAGCTCCTGCAGCAAGTAGCCCTGACACCATGACAAGCCCCATCTCCAGCGAGCAGTCTTCACAGGCGCTTTGTTTTCCATTTAAGCCAAGGAAAACAATCTCCTGAAACTCTGTGGGTCCGCTCCGTCACTCTGACGTGCACCTTCTCTGCTCGCTTCTTGTGCTGAATGATGCCTGCCCCTGGAGAAAGTGACCTGATCCCTCCTCAGCGGTCTCGGTCCCGCAGCTCTCCAGGGCCAGGTACGAATCTGGAGACTCGTGCCCTTCAGTCTGGCCCAGAAAATCTACCCTTTAGGCTCCGCCTTCACGTGACAGCTTTGAAGAACTGCTCGGACACTGCCATTCACTGGCAGCCGCCAGCACTGCCTCGCTGCCTGGCCGGTCCCGTTGACGTGGGCTGTACGTGTGGAGTGGGACTGGGGTCCCCCAGCTGACGAAGAGGCCCGGTGCCAAGTTTGGCTGGCTTTGCCCTCTGTGCCCTGCCACCCACTGCGCTGTCAGGGAAGGGCCATATCCGGCAGTCTTGACGGAAGGAGCAAAGAAAAAGAGTCCTCAACAACCCGCTCAAATGAGCACCTAACAAGTTACCAGGTGAAAGGGTGTGGCTTGTCTGCCAGGCAGTGAAGGCAGCATGTTTGCCTAGAGACCTTGAAAGTGCAGCTGAGGAGTGAGCTGGGGGCGAGGGGTCTGTGCGCCTGTTCCAGGTGGGCGAGCCGCGGAGAAGAAGGTGACGAGGGCATCAAATATATTAGGGAGGAAAGGACGAAAGTCTCTGTCTCCTTTAAATACGAGAACGCCTCACTAAGTGTGATCTGTAATTAGATCACTGAAAAATTTTAAACGCCTTTGCATTACTCTCAAGCACTGGACACACTAAGAATTAGGACTAGACTCTGCATCATACAGCACCTCGAGGAGGGGCTTGAAGCATCATTTGTAATTAGCGTATCTATTATTTGTATATGAGTGGATGTGCACAAAGTGAATAAAAAGTGTATTCTAAGTAGGACAAACGTTCCCTAGTGCAATCCTGTTTACACTATTAATTTGCTTAGCCAGCCCTTTTTGTGCCAAGATAGATGTATGTAAGAAATGCTTATTTCCTCGGGGAAGAATGAATGGCTTCCCTGTGTTTAGTCCAGTAACTAAGAAGCGGAGCGTCACTTGATTGGCTTGGGGTTTCCAGGATGTGGGGTTTTGAATTTGCATACAGACCAGAGAGATTTCGTACAGAGAAGATCTGGCAGCCATTGCCGGAGACCCAGTTTCCCATCTGGATCTCATTGAAGTGATCTGGATTTCATCAAGCAACAGGACACTTATCCTAAATGATCCACCAGACACTCCAACATAGGCATGTTTAAAATACATCCTGCTCCAGAAAAATAACTGTTAAAATATGATGAGCTGGACTTACTCTATGTGCAGTACTTAAAAGTAATAAAAATGCATTTCTTTTTAAGTCCCACAAAAACCATGCAATATCGAGTTAATGATGAAAGTCAATCCCCAAACTCTTTCTTGCACACCTCATTGTGTGACGGCATTGCAGAGATTTCCAATCATCTGGGAAAGGACATTCTGTTTTGATGAGCTGCACCAGGTGCTAACTATATGGCAGGATTTCAGCTGTGAATCTCAGGGAGGCCCTCCTGGGTAAAGAGGGGTGAGGGAAGGGCTAGGGGCATGTTTATTGTTAACCAATCGTTTTTGTCCACTAAGTTCGAAAATCAGAGCCATGGAATTGAAAAAGAAGAGGTATCGGGTATATGGGGAGTGGAGAAACTATGATTAAGAAATGAGAATCAGAAATCCAGGGCCTTGGCTCTGCCTGTACGTGCCAGACTGTGCTCTGCATCAACGGTAGCTTCGTCCGGGCTCGGAGGGCGAAAGCTAAGAGCAGAGATCTTAGGCACAGGCAGGAAATACACATGCGAGTATCGTGACTACGTTTGGAACGCCTCCAGCGCTCCCCTTTCCCCAAAGACATCCCCACGCGGGGTCTGCAGAGGCCAAATAGCTATTTGGCTTCCAATCTGATTTTTTGCCTAAGAAATCAGAGAAGTCGGTTCCAATTTTAATGATCCGTTCTCCCCAGCTCTATCTAACAGAAGGGCACTTGCACGCCTGCCCCTTCCTACGGCGCGTTTTGTGTTTGCTGAAAGGGAATAGATTGGCAGCACTGGAAAAGGAATAACTGCATTCCCAGAACAGGTATAACCGGGCGGTGACACCGCAAAATCTCTCTCTGCCTTTGGGGAACGTCAGAGTAGGATTCAGGAAGTCACGGCTGTGGCGTGCTGGGCCGAACTCCGTGGCATCCTGGTGGGCTGAGACAATTCCCGTAGCACTCAGCCGGCCTGAGCCAAGGCCATTCATCCATTCGCTCTACAGTGGGGACCGCTTACTAAGTAAGTGCCTGGTGCTGGGAGGAGACGTTTGCCAGTGTCACGTCGTCTAATCCTCACGATAACCCTGTGAGGGAGAGAATGTTCTGGTTTCACAGAGAAGGAAACCGAGGTTCAGAGAAGCGAAGTGGCTTGTCCACGTTGCTGTG